ATGACACACTTCATTCTTTCACCTGACATGTGTTCATTGGATTCCTATTAACTGCATTACAGCAGTGGATGCTAGGGACGTGCTCCATCCTACACAGTACCAACAGTCTGCTCTTGTACTCCAGGCCAGTGACTGACAGGAAGGCAAGCTCTACTTGTTACTGATGGTTACTATTTTTTCTCAATAATCCAATAAAAAATGTCTTCGCTCAAAATGGATGTGCTATATTTATCATGACCATTTACTTTAAAAGATCAACATGATTTGTAAAATGCCTATATTCTTCATCCTAAAGCATATTAGGTCATATTATAACTACCATAAAATCTTAGAGAACACTGAATCAAGATGACATGAATGGGGCCCACAAAATTAGCTCAGCAGTCTAAAATGCCTGCTTAGGCAAGTTTAGGCAAATACGCAGGGACCACAGTTCCATGGTGCCCCACCAGCCCTGCCCCAAGGGTGGGCCGAGCTGACCAAAAAAAAAAAAAAAAAAAAAAAAAGATGACATGAATGGATTAAATAGTTACTACTTAAATGAATGAAGCTTTGCTGTATATGAGTGGTCATTAGAATTGTTTTGCTTTTTTAAAAGATATTGGATGTGATATCCTTTTTTCTTTTGGGAAACACAAATTTAATACTGGTCTATCTGGGGTTTTTTCAACATTTGATATCATTTATAACAAAAATGATGAATGATGCCCTGTGTTCAGAATTTAGAACCTCCAAGGTCTATTTGTTGTTAGTTTATTTCTCTATGATAGACATTCTTTCTGGGGTGAGATGGTATCTCAGTATCCTTTTAATTTTCATTTCTTGAATGACCAATGCTGTGGAACATTTTCTCTTTCATGGGTTTATTTGCCATTTGTATGCAATTAGAGGCTACACTCACAAATGAAATAAATCAGACCCACATATGTAAACATCATATTGTCTCCTACTGTAAAAACCTAAAAGAATAAATAATATCTGAAAAGTACATTAGATATAGCAAATGAAATTAAGTGGAGGGCTGATGGGAGTGCAGATCACAGGTGGACTGATTTTTAAAGAGAAATTATTGAAGCTGGGCATGGTGGTGCACACCTGTACTCATAGTACTCAGGAGGCTGAGGCAGGAGGATCAATGAGAGTTGGAGGCCAGGCTGGGTTATAAAGTGAGTTCAAGGCTAGCCTAAACTGCATAGTGAAATTCTGTCTCAAAAAGATATGTGTGTGTGTGTGTGTGTGTGTGTGTGTGTGTGTGTGTATGAGAGACAGAGACAGACAGACAGAGAGACAGAGAGATCATTGAGGAATGTGTCATATATTAAAAGGCACTGCTGAAGATCAGGTTTTGAGGAACTAAATAAATGCATCTTATCTCCAAGAATATCAGAATATAGCAGTCCACCCATAAAAGCCCCTCCTCGTACCAGATAGGAGGGTTGGACAAATGGAATAGCTACCCATCAGTCTGTTTTCTGTTACTGTAACTAAATACCACAGACCAAGTAACATAAAGAATAGGGTTTTACTTCTCATGATTCTGGAGGCCAAGGAATCCAAGCATACGGTGCCGTCCTCCACTCAGCATCTGACAAGGGCCTCTGGTCAGACCAAGACACAGCAGACGGCAACCATCACTGCAAGACACAGCAGATGTGTCTGAGAGCACCTGCTTTTAAGCCACTTGGATGGTGATGCATCATTGTTTGTCTTAGGTGTTTTGGTTTGGTTTGGTTTGGTTTGTCTGTTTGGTTTTGTTGTGTTGGGTATTGAATTCACGGCCTGCATACTGAGCTACATTCCCAGCTCTTTTTTGTGTTTTTATTTTGAGACAGAGTCTTGCCAAACTGCTCAGGCTAGGCTCAAACTTGGGACCCTACTGCCTAAGCCTCTTAGAGTGCTGGGGTTACAGGCAGGCAGCAGCATACCCAGCCCTCACCTTGTTCTTACTACATTCTGACAACTAAGAATCTTTTTCATTCAACCTGCTTTAGCAACAAAATTCTTGTTTGTTCCCCTTCAAAAATGAGTTATTACAAAAATTTCAAATAATACAGAAAAAGTCTATCCTACTCCTGCTCTTAGAGACAGCCATGCTGGGGCCATTTCCTCAGGTTTGTTTTCCCTTTAACTCTTAAGTAGCTCTGTTCCTTAATCAGAATTTAAAAGTTGATTTCTAAGGATTATATTTTTATTTTAAAAGATGTTTAGAATCTACTCACAGCAAAATATCCTACATTCTTGTATCATAAATATGAGATTAAAAGCACCAAGAGTAGTGGCATAGCTTTGTTGAAAAGGTGGCTGCCACATTTCTGTGCCTATTGTCCTGTTTCCACAGCAGCCAGGAGCCTGCCGGTGGCACGAGGGCCCATCCAAGTCCCACAGTCCAATTGCCTTGTCTGAGCTCTGGCCCCTGACTCCTCTCTGCTGTCCAGGAAAATTCCCGCCATCTCCACTGGGTGTTGGAAAGTTGAGATCTAACCTTACGAGTGAATGAAGGAGGGACATCAGCAAGGACCTTCTCAGGAGTATTATTATTAACACAAGAGAATCTGTAAAGGCTAGCATTTGGAGTGACTAAGAAGAGGGGAAGAATTTCTGGGAGTGTAGCGATCATTTCCGTGGCAAGAATCAGACGTATTAAAACTGGAAGACACACAGAACAATGTGGAAAGTCATCTCCAGGCTCAAGTGGGTTCTGGCATGATGCAACTGGTATTAGTTAGGAAGGGTAAAAACATGGCTTAGTTCTGCTATTATCAGTCTTGGTTCTACTTTCTCAACCTAAAAGTTAGAGTGCTTGGAAAGCCCTAAGGAACAGAAGAGTCTTTCAAAAGTGAGAAACAGCAGTTCCTCTACGCCATTGACCATGAGCCCAGAGAGGAGGGCGGGGAGTGGAGCCAGGGAGAATTCACTCTCCGGGGCAGGACCACTAGCAAGCCTGACCCACACTGAAATCTATGTGAAAAAATACAGGAGTCTGTCTCAAGGTGCCCATAACAATATATTGCAGATAAATCAACCCAGTAAAGAGAAATCGGGCGGGAAAAAAGATAAGCCATCAAAAAATTGGAAGCTGGAAACTTCAGAAGGAAAAAAGATCTCTGCAAAAAGGCTCTGACCCAAGGAAGATAAGGCCCCTCTCGCTGGGAACGAAGGATGGAGCGACTGGCTGCAAGGGTGAGCGGAGCGCAGCTATGCCGACACAGGGCAGAGCAGCGCGCAGGTGAGTCGGAAGCAGCAAAGCAAGGCTGAGAAGAGCAGGATGATCACTTAGACCGGGAGAGTCCCGCCATGTGTGTCGGCGCCCGGTCGGAAATTGCTTCTCCTTAGGGCTTCTGAAATGGGAAGAGAAACAACTGGGCTGTGTACTTAATGTACCTAATAAGCCCCAAGGCAGGACAGCTAGCACTAGCACAACTCACATTGATCTTTCACAAAAGACTTTTACATTTATCACTTGATCCTAGACCAGCCATATGAAGCATCATTCTCCTATTTTACAAATAAGGAATGGAAAGATTATATCTGTTGCTTAAAGGCACCAAAGCCTTTAAATGGCTAGGGCTTCGAGAGCTCAATTCTCCTGAAATCAAATACCCTGAGCTGTTCCCGGCACCCTATCCAGAAATCACACTGTCTGCCATGTATCTTAAAAGATTCTTTAAAATGTAATTTTCCTTAACTGTGTAAGGAAATTCTGTTTGGTTGCTTTTTTTGCTTTTAATATCCATCTGGGGGCCGGGGAGATGGATGGCTCAGTACAATAAGTGCTTGCCTGGCAAGCACAAGGGCCTGAGTTCAATCCCCAGTTTAAAAAAAAAATCCATCTGCCTTGGCTGAATCCAGAACAGAATAAAGTCAAGGAAAAGATGTGTGGAAACTGGAGCTCAAAACAGAGATCCATACCCTTGGGGTGTCAGGTAAGGACTCACCCAACAGCACCAAATTCAGATTGCAGGGACTTCAACTGCTACCACTATTATGGGCCTCACCACTGAAGTTGAAGACCATAATGGAGTGACATTCCCATCAGGGGTTTATAGTAACATCATCCAAAATATGTTCTTCCTCTCAATGGACACACTAATCTTCTATCATGCTGGTGAAAGGGAGGGTGGCAGTTGAGAAGAAACGCCAAGAAGTTGGTAACTGCAAGGAATACGCTCTGGCAGGATATGGAGCTTACCTAGTTAGGTAACATAACTTCACCAGGGTCTTTCCAGTTAATGTTGCCCTTTCAACACAGATTAAAAAGTAAAATGGACTATCTCAAACTGAAATAATGCCTTTGTGTGTGGGAGGATCATGTGATTTTTTTTTTTTCTTTAGATTTTACAGAGCTAAAAATAGAATACATCTCTAAGGCTTCTAGTCCACAGAATGAAACAACGTAGTTTCTTCATTTTTAAGTGGCCTGTTTTGAAATGAACAAATCTTAACACTTCATCAAGCTAAGAAAAGAAGCAAAAGAAAAGAGTCTGTCTCTTGGGCCTAGGATAGTTCTGAAGATTCAGAAGCTGAAGTCAACTGGAAGGCTGCCAAGCTAAACAGAATCAATTGACTCGGTATTTTTTAATCAAACAAAAACACCACAAATCTTTTTCTTTTTCTATTTTCCTTTCCCAAAGCCTGTGTTTCAAGACAAAATGTCTGTCAAATCCAGTGGTACACAGTAGATTCACAGGATGTGTTGGTACTTCATAAGGTGGAAATTAAAGACCTAGTCTGTAAGACGGCAAGCAGAGACCATCTAAGCAAAATGTGCTCATACGCAGAGATGTGTACTCTCTCCCTCCCTCTCCCTCTATCTGTCTGTCTGTCTGTCTGTCTGTCTGTCTGTCTGTCTATCTACCTGTGTGTGTGTGTGTGTGTATACACACACACACACACACACACACACACACACACGGTCACTTCATCCACTGAGAAGGACCTGCAACTAATATCAAGTATCCATTGCCTCACTTATTGAAGTGTGTATTTTTAGAGTTACTAACCTTTTTGTGAACTGAACATTAAATCTCTTCACAAACCTGCCAGAGAGCAGCTTTTCCAAAGGCAAACAGTGAGCCACTGTCTCTAGTATACCTATCAAAGTAAACAATTAAAAATGGCATTTAGTGCAAAATTTTAAAGCCACTATAACACAACACTACTGAGATTATTTAAAAACAAAACCACACATGCAAACAATGTTGCACCTTGGCATTTATTTTTAAAATAAAATATTTATTTATTCATTTCTCCAGCAGATGAATTGGCTGAATAAATGTAAGGCAATCAAAAGAAACTCAACGGTTCCAGCAGCCCGAGCTCTTGCCAACCTAACTTGGCCATCGGTGGGTGGAGACTGGTCCTCATGACACAGAAAGAGTACAGATAGTTATTCTGTGGATCCAGCAAGCTTGAATCCATGTCCAGTTCCTCATAACTAGCTGCATGACTTTGTGCAAACTACATAACCTCTCTGGACTTCTATTGGCTTTTGGATTATAATTGTAAAACTAAATGGCTAACAGAAGGGTTCTACTATATGTAGTAATAAAGGAAATTATACAAAAGAAGTACATGTAAGGAGCTGAGCTTGGCTTAGATTCTAGATTAGACCAAGAGCCCAACAAGAATCATTTTTCACAATTCTCAACACCCAAGATGAAAGGGTAAAGAAAACAGTGTATGTACACACAATGGAGAATTACTCAACTGTAAAGAGCAAAGTCTCATTCACAGGAACGTGGATGCAACCAGAGATCTTCATGTTAAGTACAATAAGCTAAACTCAGGAAGACAGTTATGGCATATTCTATGTACTGTGTGAATCTAAAACAATGTCATTAAAGTAGAAAAGAGGCTATTACTAGAACAAAGAAAAGGAATGAAAAGGAGGAAGAAAGGGGTAGGGAGAGTAATGGGGAGGGGATATAATCAAAATATATTATACACATTGAAACTGAATATTTTATAAAATTAATAAGCACTAATAACTAGTGAGGTGCTAAAAAGTTCAATATTTTTATCATTGCAAAATCTCACCGAGTAACCACAGAATTTATTTTGTAGTGCAGGGCACTTTAGAAGCTGAAAGAGGACTCTTAAGTTACAATGCAGCAGCAGGGACAGAGGGGTACCCTAATCTGCGTCTGCACAGTGCAGCCTGATAGTGTTGAAACCAGGAGGCAGGAGCAAGGCTCAGCGCCAAGCGGCACACAACATAAAGTCATGCTGGTGAGGGAGGATACCATACTGCCCTTGAGGGGAAATGTGCACAGTGGGGAAAAGGGCTCAAAGGAGACAAAAGCTTCTATTTTTTCTTTTTGTGTGTGTGTGCGGAACCAGGGATTGAACTCAGGCCCTTGCGCTTGCCAGGGAAACACTTATTCTACTGAGCCATCTCCCCGGCCCTGCTTCTACTTTTCTAATCAGCTGGTAGGACCATACCAGAAGCAACTCAGTATCAAACTTTTTGCAGCATTCTAATCTTATTCATATATATATATATATATATATATATATATATATATAGTCTCACTACACAGCTCAGACTCATAGTGATCCTCCTGTCTCAGCCTTCCCAATGCTGGGATTACAGTGTGCACCACCACACCTGGTTCAAGGGCTGGCACGGCACGAGGTACTAGGGATCGAGCTGAAGACCTTGTGCTTGTCAGACAGGCACTTATGCGGCCAAGCTGTCTCCCCCAGGCCTGCAGCATTCTAAATTCAAACAAATCAAACTCTCGCTGTATCAGAAAAGTCAGTCGGTATGCTTCAATTTGTTAGTTGTCCAAGTAACAGTTCCTGTCCCAGATCTGGTGGCCCTTGTCTCTTAGAAACGCCTGGTCGCTGTGATGCATAGCTGGACACTGCAACGCACATTGTCTACACCAGTCCCCAACTGACGAGGCACTCTGCCTCCATACTTCCTGCTTGCCTATCCAGTATAAGCCCTGGACCACCAGAGACCAGGGCCTGACATTCTGTGAGTGACCCTGATCAGGGCCTGTTGACAAATTAATCTACCTCCAAATCCCAAGCGTTGACTGGTGTCTCTGCTTGCCACTGCATTGCAACATTATTTTACATAAAACTGAAAAATTATCAATTTCTAAAAGTGCATTCATCACTGGCTAGTTCTTCTACTGGATTATAGGCTCATAGGTGGTATACTTAACATGATTTTTATTCTAGAAATTCAGCTAATTAAAAATTCAGAAAAAATAACAGTGGTTACCCATCCTCAAATAAAAAAGTTAGTGATCTGGAAAATATACCAGAATATTCCAGTCACTAGAAAGAACATACCTTCTTTGTTGATGTCCTTAACTCAAACACAGAGTTTCCAACAAATTAGCTGATGCATTCTGAATAACATAGGAAGTTGCAATCTACTAATTATTTTTTTAAAGTCTCATTGTGGTACATATAAAAAAGGAACACTATTCAGCCACTAAAAAGAGTGAGGGCCTTGGCAGCAACATAGACAGACTGGAGATCGCTCTAGTAGGTGAAATACAGACTCTCAGAAAGAGCAGTGCCACATGATCTCACTCACCTACACAGGCGGAATATGAAAAACTTGGTCTCATGAAAAGCAGTAGAATGTGGCTAGGCTCAGGAGGAGGGAAGGGGTGGTGTGAAGCCGAGGAACGGGCAGTAGACCATAGCTGTATCTGAGTGAGTTCCGGTGAGCTACTGTACAGCGGGGTAACGACGCACAATGATAATGCTCTAGAGAGTTCACCAAGATGGAAGATTTTGAATTCTTTCAGCACACAGAGCCAATAAGCCAGGGGTGGTGACCCCTGTCTATAATTCTAGCTGCTCAGGAAACTGAAGCAAGGAGGATTGCAGTTAGAGGCCGGACTGGCCAACTTCGCAAGACCCTTCTCCAAATAAAAATCTTATTTTTATGGTATTTTACAGCTTATACATCACATATACCTGAATACATATTTGGATATGATGTATCTTTTTTAATATTTGCAGCTTCCTGAGACAGGTAGAACAGAAACTACCTAGTTACATGCAAATTTAAATGTTTCTTAATATTTAACTAAATTATTTTACATGAAACAGTTCACTGGGTTAAGAAGGTCAGAAGATTTATACTTGGGAGTATAAATTGGAATGAAACATCATTCTGAGACATTAAAGTGATTTACAATCATTCAAATGTAGAGGGGTGGGGCTGGGGTTTCAACAGTTTAAATCCCTGCTTGGCAAGTGCAAGGTCCTGAGTTCGATCCCCAGTACCAAAAAACAAAAAAATCAAACAAATGTAGAAGGATTGGGATGGAGCTCAATAACAGAGAACAGGATCTTAGCAGGTGCAAGACCCTGGATTTGATAACCAGTACCACACACAAAAAGGCAAACTTTTAAAATATAATTAAATGGAAATATACTCAGAGGAAGGTAGTTTGGGGCAAAATTAAAATTATACACACCAGATGAAAAGTGCCTGAATTTAAATAATTGTTCTTGTGCACTGGCCAGTAGCCACTGATTTTATCTATGAGATTAATTATTGAAACTGTACATTACAGGTCCTCACAGAAATGACAAGACCAGACAACAGATGATTTAATAAATTTTCTTTGAAGAGAATTAAGTTACCAACTAAAAAATGAGTCAACAACAAGAATAAAAGGGCCCTATGGGGAGATTTTTTAATTCTTCCTGCTTTTTTGAAAGAAAAAAAAGAAAACTTTTATTTTCAATGAGAAATGCTAAAAGGATTAATAAAAACATGCTAAAAATGGTTCCACATGAGACCCAGAGGAACCATGATGGAGTGGCCACAAGACTTCTCCACTTACACATGTCCTTACATCATCTTACTTTTGATCATATCAAGAATAATATGCACAGAAATGAAAATAATTAAAATTTGTTTCTTTTAAGAAAATGAAGATCCATACATACTGCACTTGAACTTGTAAACAATAATACAGAAATCAGACACAGGGAAATACAGTGCTTCCTACCTCTTAAAAGATGGTGGGAGGGGAAAGAGAAGGAAGAAAGGGACAAAAAGAGTCTCAATCTACTAACTCCCCACAATTAGTGTAATCAATATGTACTGCACACACACACTAATAAAAAACTCTGAACTTTATTACAGTTGATGCATGATGCCCAGTAAATCTAAATGAAGAAAGTGAGCCAGAATTAATACAATCCAAATTGAGACAAATAAAGACATGGACACAATTTGCATCTGATTAACACTATCTTTTTGCCCAGATTTTCAATGAAACAGATTGGAAATATTTGTAAAATATTTTCAGCGTCACTGTGTACATGAATTAAATGTGTTAGGTGTTTGACTAATTAGCACTAAACATTGAAGGACAGTTCACAAATTTGAATAATGGTTTTTAAAATTCCCTAAATTAGTTACTGACTTACTTTATTTAGCTATTTCATATTTAGTTGTAGTAGATGCAGTTGGAGTTATTTACATTAGTTGTACTTTTTGAGCAATACATTGGATGGATATTGTGATAGTTTATAGTGCATCATATGGAAGAATGGCTACAATTTAGGAAATGTGTATATAAATCATGTATGTATGAATACGGTAAATTCTGCTACTCTCCCTCTCTCTGATTATCTGTGAAATCATAAATACCAACTACTTTCTGGATGTGATAACAACCTGCTTTAAACATTTGTTTCCTTTCCAGAAGGTTCTATGTGTTGTGGACAGCTAGACCAGCAGCTCCTTCCTCTCCAATCTCACCATGTAAAATTTGCCGGCCCTGCGACTGTTCTAGAGATTCACGTAGAGTTCAGATTCTTGAAGCCAATCACAATATTGCAGAAGCTCTAGCTTTTAAGAGACAAGAAAAGTTCTTACACAAATTCACAGGCCCTCTTTATCTTCTCTATTGCCTAAAGCATAAGCAAAAGTTCATTTCTTTGTGACAGGGCTATATTACTCAGCTTTGCATTGCCACAGCTAACTACCTGAAGCAATACATTTATAAACAGAAAAGGTTTATATTCCAATGTCTGGAGGTTCCAATCTAAGACTGAGTCACCTCATTACTTTGTACCTCTGGTGATGACACCAGATGGTAGTG